TAATGGAAAAAAAAACAATATTCTTAGTTTTTAGGCAAAATATGGGATTCCGATCCCAATCCCGAATTCCCGAAATATTTAGGGATACGATATACCGGGATTAATATTATGGGACGGGATTGGGATTTAAAATTTCTATCCCGAATCCCGAAATCCCGATCCCGAAAATCCCGAATTCCCGAAATCCTGTCCCGAACTCACCCCTAGTTATCAACACCATCTCTCAATTAAGTCCTGTAGATGTTGTCTGCAATATGGGAGACAAAACATGTGGTGAGAGAAAATACCTTTGAACAAAAAAATAAGGAAAAAGAAACATGATAATTAATATGATGTGTCACATAGCGATTTGTTCTCCATATTTTATTTATGGTTTGTCTTCCCTATTTAAATGTGTTTCAATCAATAAAATATTTCATCATCAATATATCCATTTAATCAATTTACGAGCAAAATATTTCAATAATGAATTATGGTTCGAGTTCTAATCAATTCGATTGGGTTGCGTATAATGAGCAAATACTTGATGAAGACAACGAAGCAGATACACTTGCTCGTCTACACTATGAAGCAGCCGTTAATCAAGAGGTTGTATACGGTGGCTCTATTTCTGGACGCAAATATAAACCTCGCGACCGAAAGGTAAACACCAACAACCCATGAATGATTACTTTTTTGACAACCCTGTTTTCGATGCAGATGATTTCAGACGCCGGTTCCGAAAGAAGCATCATTTACTATTACGTTTGGTTGAGGATTGCGAGAGCTCGAATCCATATTTTCAAAGAAAACTTGATAGTTCCACAAATTAGGATTCTCATCACTCCAAAAGGTTACAGTTGCTATGCGAATGTTGGCTTACGCATACTCCGCTGATTCAATTGACGAAACTTTCCATATGGCAAAGACGACCGCAACTGAGACCTTGCGCGAATTTCGCCAAACAATTTTGCGGTTGTATAAAGATGAGTACCTTTGTTCTCCAGCAAACGCAGATATGACAAGGCTACTTGACAAAGCGGAACAACGCGGGTTCCCTGGAATGATCGGTTCAATAGACTATATGCATTGGACATGGAAAAATTGTCCACCTGCATGGGAGGGAAGCTCGGGGAGAAAACATAAACCCACAATTAGTCTCGAAGCAGTGGCTTCATCTGACACTTGGATATGGCATGCATTCTTTGGCGTACCTGGTTCACAAAGCAATATCACTGTCTTGGGTCGTTCACCCTTGTTTGACAACCTTGTTCAGGGAATTTCCCCAAGAGTTCACTATCAGGTAAATGAAAAATATCACTACATGGCATACTATCTTGCTGATGGCATATACCAAAAATTGGGTAAGTTAATTCAATCCATTAAGCAGCCGAGAATACATCAAGAACAATTGTTCTAAAAATGCAAGAAACATACCGCAAGGATAATGAACGAACTCTTGGAATTCTTCAAGCCCGATTTGCTATAGTGAAGCAGCCTGGAAGAGGGTGGGATCCGAAGGACCTAAGAAATATTATGATGACATGTATCGTACTCCATAATATTATTGTGGAAGACGAACGAGATGAATACTCTAATGCTGAGTCAGATGAAGATGACAACAACCCAGCCACATCTCGCAGAGCTCGTGCCAACAGTTATGATATAAATGAGGAATAAGATCTAAACCCAAGAACAAGTGGCATATCCATAAGTGATTATATGAGACGTCGTCACACAATGCGATGGGTGGAAGTAAATAGTAACCTTCACCGTGAGTTAATAGCTCATGTGTGGGCAAGACACAATGGAAATATGTAATGATTTAACTTGAATTTTTATTTACAAATTAAGTGTTTGGTTTTATTAAAATTATGTTGTTATTTCAAATTTATAATAAAAATTAACATAATCGTATTTGTTGTTTTTTCTAATTTTTTAAATTATAAAAGAAATTATATTAAAAAATAAAATAAAACCAAATAAAGAAACAAAGTAAAATAATAATAATAAAATTACGAATAAAGATATAATTTAAAAGGAAATAATAAAATAAAAGAAATGAAAAAAAAAAAAAAAGTCTTTATGTTGATTTTATTGAATTTATGTGATATTAAATTATGTAATTAAATAAATGAAATAAAATAAAATAATGATATAATACAAAAATAAATACAAAAGAAAAAGGAAATAAATAATAAATAAATTTGACATGTGAAAGAGAGAAAAGAAAAAGGGAAAAAAAAGAGAAAAAAAAAAAAGAGAAGAAGCGTATAACAAAGAAAAAAAAAGGAAAAGTGGCAAGTAAATCACACGCCCCCTTCCAGCACGTTAGTTAGAAGGGGGCATCTCAAGCATTCATACTTTCCTTTTCGCATTAGCTTCGAGCTAAGCATTCTTACTTTCCTTTTGGCATTAGCTTTGACCTAAGCATTGTTTGTGTTCTTATGGAATTTGCTTTTGCTAAGTATTCTTACTTTCCTTTTGGCATTAGCTTTGATTGAGCTAATAAATCTTAATTTTCTTTTGGCATTAGCATCGAGCTAAGTATTATTTCTATCCTTCCGGCATTATCTTTGAACTAACCATTGTTCCTCTCCTTACGGAATGAGCTCGTGAAAAGCATTCTTACTTTTCTTTTGGCATTAGCTTCGAGTTAAGCATTATTCATCTTCTTGTGGAATTAACTTTTTTTCATTGTTTGCTTATATATTTATTTATCTTATATATTTTTTTTTTAATTTTTTATTTGATTTATTTTCTTTTGTTTTTATTTGTTTTTTTTTTATTATTATTATTATTATTATTATTTTATTTTATTTTACTTTTATTTTTTGTTATGGAATTAGCTTATGCTAAGCATTCTTATTTCCTTGTAGCATTAGCTTCGACCTAAGCTTTGTTCCTCTCCTTGTGGAATTAGCTTGTGCTAAGCATTTTTACTTTCCTTTTGGCATTAGCTTCGAGCTAAACATTATTCCTCTTCTTATGGAATGAATTTTTATTTATTTATTTATTTATTTATTTATATATTTATTTATTTTATATATTTTTTATTTTTAATCTTTTATTTTTTTTATTATTTTTTTTTTCTTATGGAATTAGCATGTGCTAAGCATTCTTGCTTTTGGCATTAGAATCAAGATAAGCATTATTCCTCTTCTTATGGAATTAGTTTGTACAAAGTATTCTTACTTTCCTGATGACATTAGCTTCGAGCTAAGCATTCTTGATTTCTTTTTGGCATTAGCTTCGTGCTAAGCATTATTCCTCTCCTTATGGAATTTGCTTGTGCTAAGCATTCTTACTCTCCTTTAGGCATTAAGCTTCTAGCTATGCATTATTCCTCTCCTTATGGAATTAGCTTGTGGAAAGCAATCTTACTTTCCTTTTGGCATTAGTTTCGAGCAAAGCATTGTTCCGCTCCTTACGGAATTAGCTTTTGCCAAGCATTCTTACTTTTCTTTTGGCATTAGTTTCGAGCTAACCATTATTATTTTCCTATTGGCATTAGCTTTCAGCTAAGCAATGTTCCTGTTCCAATGGAATTAGCTTGTCAACCATTCTTACTTTCCTTTTGGCATTAGCTTCGAGCTAAGCACTCTTCCTCTCCATATGGAATTTGCTTTTGCTAAGCATTTTTACTTTCCTTTTGGCATTAGCTTTGATTGAGCTAAGCATTCTTAATTTTCTTTTGGCATTAAGCTTCGAGCTAAGCATTGTTTCTATCCTTCCGGCATTAGCTTTGAGTAAAGCATTGCTCATCTCCTTATGGAATTAGCTTGTGCTAAGCATTCTTACTTTTCTTTTGGCATTAGCTTCGAGCTAAGCATTATTCCTCTTCTTATGGAACTAGTTTTTTTTAATTATTTATTTATATATTCATTTATCTTATATATTTTTAATTTTAGTTTTTTGTTTATTTATGTTTTATTTTACTTTTATTTTAATTTATTTTTTACATTTATTTTTATTTTTATTTTTATGTTTATTTTTATTTTTATTTGTTTTTTATATATTATTTTTTCTTGTGGAATTAGCTTATGCTAACTAAGCATTCTTATTTCCGTTTAGCAGTAGCTTCGAGCTAAGCATTGTTCCTCTTCTTATGGAATTAGCTTGTGCTAAGCTTCTTACTTTCTTTTTGGCATCAACTTCGAGCTAAGCATTCTTCCTCTTCTGATGGAATTAACTTTTTTATATTATTTATTTTATATATTTATTTATTTTATATATTTTTATTTTTTAATCTGTTTTATTTGTTTTATTTTGATTTTATTTTTAGTTTTTTTTTTCTTATGCAATTAGCTTGTGATATTCTTCCTTTTGGCATTCTTACTTTCCTTTTGGCATTATTTCTATCCTCTTGGGATTAGCGTTGAGCTAAACAATATTCGTCTCCTTATGGAATGAGCTTGGGTTAAACAATCTTACCTTTCTTTTGGCATTAGATTCGAGCTAAGCATTCTTCCTATAGTTATGGAATAATAAGTTTGTGCTAAGCATTCTTACATTCCTTTTAGATTAGCTTTTATTGACTAAGCATTCTTAATTTTCTTTTGGCATTCGCTTTGAGCTAAGCATTATTTCTATTTTTGGCATTAGCTTTGCGACAAGCAATATTCCTCTCCTTATGTAATTCGCTTGTGCTAAGCAATGTTATTTTCTTTTGGCATTAGTTTCGAGCTAAGCATTTTTACTTTTCTTTTGGCATTAGGTTCGTGCTAAGCATTATTTCTATCCTTTCGGCATTTGAGCTAAGCATTACTTCTCCTTATGGAATTAGCTTGCGCTAAGAATTTTTACTTTATTTTTGGCATTAGCTTCGAGCTAAGAATTATTCCTTTCCTTATGGAATTTTCTTGTCCTAAGCGTTCTTACTTTTCTTTTGGCATTTGCTTCGTGCTAAGCATTATTTTTCTTCTTACAGAATTAGCTTGTGTTAACCATTCTTGCTTTCCTTTTGTCATTACCTTCGAGCTAAGAATTCTTTCATTTGGGCATAGCTTCGAGCTAAGAATTAATACTCTTCTTATGGAATTTGCTTGTGCTAAGCATGGTTACTTTTGTTTTTTTCATTATCTTCGAGCTAAGCATTATTCTTCTACTTATGGAATTAACTTGTGCTAAGAATTCTTACTTTCCTTTTGGCATTAGCTTTCTGCTAAGTATTCTTACTTTCCTTTGGCATTAGCTTCGAGCTAAGCATTATTCCTCTCGTTATGGAATTTCCTTGCTGTGCATTTTAAATATCCTTTTGGCATAAGCTTTGACCTAAGCATAATTCCTCTCTTTATGAAATTTGCTTGTGTTAAGCATTCTTACTTTCCTTTTCGCATTAGATTTGTGCTAAGTATTCTTACTTTCTTTTTGGCATTAGATTCGAGCTAAGCATTATTCCTCTCCAAGAATTATTCCTTTTCTTATGGAATTAGCTTGTGCTAGCATTCTTACTTTTCGTTTGACATTTGCTTTTAGATAAGCATTCTTACTTTCTTTTTGGTATTAGCTTCGAGCTAAGCATTATTTATCTCCTTATGGAATTTGCTTGTGCTAAGAATTCATACTTCCCTTTTTGCATTAGCTTCAAGCTAAGCATTATTCCGCTCCTTATGGAATTTCCTTGTACTAAGCATTTTTACTTTCCTTTTGGCATTAACTTTGAACTAAGCATTTTTACTTTCCGTATGGCATTAGCTTCGAGCTAAGCATTATTCCAATCCTTATGGAATTGGCTTGTGCTCTGCATTTTTACTTTCCTTTCGGCATTAGCTTCGAGCTAATCATTATTCCTCTCCTTATGGAATTTGCTTGTGCTGAACATTGTTACTTTCCCTTTTACATTAGTTTTTTGCTAAGCATTCCTATTTCCTTTTTGGCATTAGCTTAAAGCTAAGTATTGTTCCGCTCCTTATGGAGTTAGCTTGTGCTAAGCATTCTTACCTTCCTTTTGGCATCAGCTTCGAGCCATGCATTCATCGTCTCATTTTGGAATTACCCCGTGCAAACAATTCTTATTTTCTTTTGACATTAGCTTTGTTTGAGCTAAGCATTCTTAATTCCCTCTTGGAATGAGCTTCTAGCTAAGCATTATTTCTATCATTTCGGCATTAGCTTTGACCTAATCATTATTCCTCTCCTTATGGAATTCCCTTGTTCTAAGCATTTTTACTTTCCTTTTATAACTTTTTTTTTAATTTTATAATTTTTTTTTTTTAATTTTAATTTTAATTTTAATTTTGATTTTCATTTTTATTTTATTTTCTTATGGAATTAGATTGTGCTAAGCATTCTTATTTTCCGTTTGGCATTAGCTTCAAGGTAACCATTCATACTTTCCTTGTACAATTAGCTTCGAGCTAAGCATTATTACTTTCCTTTTGCCATTAGCTTCGAGTTAAACATTATCACTTTCGTTTTGGCATTAGCTTCAAGCTAAGCATTATTATTTTTCTAGTGGCGTTAGCTTTGAGCTAAGCATTGTTCCTCTCCTTATGGAATTACCTTGTGCTAAGCATTCATACTTTCGTTTTGGCATTAGCTTTGAGCTAAGCATTATACCTTTTCTTATGGAATTAGCTTTTTTTTATTATTTATTTATATATTTATTTATTTTATGCATTTAATAATTTATTTTTTTTTCTTATGGAATTAGATTATGCTAAGCCATTCTTATTTTT